AGGCATTATCCTGTCTCCGAGCTGTTACCGAGAATTTCTTGACAGAAAAAAACCAATAACTGATATTTTTGGCGCGGCACGGGATTAAAGACCGTGATATCATAATAAGCAGTTGCGTTTATGAATACTAGACAAATAAAGCTGGCCACTGTAATATCACAACAAAATTATAAATGGTTATAAAAGGTAACCGACAAGGCATTGTGCTATGATTGTGCTATTGTAATGGCAGTGATAACACGCAATTGTTGGAGAAAATTTTGCGAGAGGTGCTATTCAAACTATTTAACTTGCGTTTGCGTACTGCGTTTCTCCTGCATTTCAATGATATGTTGCAAACTAGTAACATTCATTGCTATGCAGACGACAGCACTGGTGATGCCTTTTATACCGGCCGTGCCAATATTTCTCGGGAAAACGTCGTCGAGTACCGGGACAAACTTGTGTCTGAAGTCGAGTCTTTGCTGAACAAAGTCTCGGATTGGGGGCCACTAAATCTAGTCCAGTTCAATCCCCAGAAGAAACAAGTTTACGCGTTTACCCCTAAAAGGAACCCCTTTGTCGTATCTCCTCAGTTTCAAGGCACTCCCCTTGCTGCCTCAGCTAGCACCGGAATCGTCAGCGTCGACATATCGAGTGACGTGCAGTTTCGTGGTCACTTGGAAGGTAAGGCCAAACTGGCCTCTAAAGAGCTTGGCGTGTTCAGCAGAGCGAGACAGTATTTCATGCCGGCACATCGCTTGCAACTTTACAAAGCGCAAATCCGGCATCACATGGAATACTGTTCTCATCTCTGGGCCGGGGCACCCCAGTGCCAGCTCCTTCCACTTGACCGCATCCAGCGCAGCGCGGTTCGAATCGTCGAAGACCGAGTTCTTTCTGATCGGCTCGATACATTGGCACTGCGTAGAGATGTTGCATCTGTTTGCGTATTTTATTGCATTTACCACGGGGAGTGCTCTGAGGAATTGTTCGGATTAATTTCAGTCGCTCAATTTCACTATAGCACGTCGCGACAAAACTTGCGATACCATCCATACCACCTGGATGATTCGCGGTCCACCACTGTGCGATTTAGAAGATGTTTTCTTCCTCGCACAACTTCCTTGTGGAATCGATTACCAACAGCGATTTTTCCGGACCTTCAAGAAAAGAGCCTACTCCTTTTTAAAAGGCCTGCAACGCATCTGCAATTCCCCTGGTGTTGCGGTTGTTAATGGGCAGCGGTAGTCACTTACAATCAGGTGAGCCGCATGCTCGTTTGCCCCCTCTCCTATAAAAAAAAATAACTGCCCAAAGAATTTCTCATTCTCACTAAAAACCTCAGGTTTCCCAGAAACGATGCTGCCAAACTCAGTTTTCAGCTAGGCAATAAACACCAATATTTTTTTTTCTTTCTATATCAGTATTTCAATTTTCACAATTTTTGTTAAACAAATTTACGCAAAGTTTCCAATTATAATATTTACTAGTTGTGCCCGCGGCGTAGCTCGCGTATCTCAATACGGTTAAAAAAAAGCGAAAAATCTTAACACCGCAATTCTTTTTTTTTCTTTTGCGCCCAAAGCGAGGCTACCCTCTGGAAGCGGGGGAGGGAGGCGGTGAATCTTCATAACATACCACGGCAGCTGGCAGCGTGGTTATGTGAGACTCACTTTGAAGAAGTGCCTACCCACTTAACACCACCTGTGGGACTGGCGTTGGCCATTATGGCCTTCCTGCCGAATTAAACTTAGATAATAAGATTAATATATTTTTGTATATACATATACAAATCCTTTCTTTAATACTTTTGTTTACTGCGTTTTAGATATAATTATATCATTATAGAACATCATTTAACATCATTTAATTATGATTTATAATATGATATTAGTTTAAAATGCACTTGATGACTCAATCAACGCTACCATTGAACAACATCGTACATATACCTCGTACCCATACTTTAGAATATTTATCATAACTTTTGATGCAATGAACTGATTTTAATGAAATAAAGACTAAATGTAACCCGAATATACACTTTATGATTTCCTTAACAATTCTCATGATATAAATTAGTACTTTATATGTGATACGTTAACAAACAAACAGACAGACTGACAGACAATTCTAAAAACGGTACAAATGTATTTAATATTTATTTTTAGTATCTCTCAATCACTTTTATTACAAAAATATAAAATGTACAGACGTCTGCTATTTACATTTTTATTATATGTATAGATTTTAAGTTAAATTATAACATAAAACACCGATTTCAAAATTTAGCTCGATAGCTATATTTAATATTCATGGTCAATCCCCTGTTCTGTACTGAATTGTTGGAAGATATAAATTTATCTCGCTGATTTTGGTTTTGTTGTTCACGTAAAAGCCAAAAATTGTAAAAAAACAGCAGTAAAATGTTTTGTGATTATTGCATATTTATTTCTGAAATTGCATTTACTGAATTCGATTTTAAAATTTAATATTGCAGTTTTCAGGCGACTATGGGGATTTCAATCATCTACCGTTGTTTTATACGTGGTAGAGCCATGCTGTAGCTAAATTAATAGTATAGTTGTAGCACGAAAGGGTCGGCTCGACCGGGGAAGGACCACGCTCTCATAGAATACCAGCGTAAAATAGCAGTTTAATGCTGCTGTGTTTCGTATCGTGAGTGTAGAAAACCGGAGACCCATTTTACTGGAAAAGAGGCATTCCATCTTAGTCCTCACGGGTGACGGCGCATCTGCATTTTGATCTTTTATTGAGGATAAATGTAAATGTCTATGGGTCACAGTAACCACTTACCATAAGGTGGACTGTGTGCTCGCTTGTATATCTATTCTATAAAAAAATGCGGACTTGATAAATCTAAATATATATATATATATATATGAAATTTTAATATTGACCCAAAAAAAATGCTAACCACTTTACAAAACAAGATGATCGTGGCGGTACAAGAAGGTACCCGTGGAAGTTACCTGTGCTTCAGGCAGCCACAACTTGTTTTGCTAGAAATAGTTATAGCATGTGTGTTCGATTATTTAATTTATTTCCGAACCATATTCAAAACTAGATATTTAATCTGTTTAAAAAAGTTATTTTCGTGACTCTCATTGAAAACTGCTTTTATGACGTAAATGAATTTATTAAATTCTGCCGTGACGGTCATCTCAAGCGAATTGTTGTTAATTGAAATTTTAAATTGACAAATGAATTAGAATTTGTAAGATTGACATTATACTAGTTTGAAATTATGCATTATGACATGACCATGCCATAATGCATAATTTCAAAATCTTTTTACATCATAAATTTATTGACATTATACTGTTTTATTAAATTTTGATATGAAACGTTATTGTAATTTTGTAATTTTGTGATTTTGTGATTTTGTAATTTTGTCATTTTACTTATTCAATTATTGCATGTCGATTTAAAATTTGCATACTGATAAATCGGTAAAACATGCATGTTCACACTATAGTATAAGACCTCAAAATGTACCATGTTTTATGCAAATAAATATTTTATTATTTGTTATTATTATTTATTATAATCTACACCTTATGACACTAAAACCGCTCTTTAAATTTGCAAATAGCAATTGATCGATTTAAAAAAAAATACTGACAATTTCAACAATATTTTATCTTTCTAAAAATGTGTTATTTAGAACATTTATATGTTCAATATGATTGTTAGGTACGATTTTATGCGACAAATCGTTGGAATTCGCTTTGCGCTTAAGGTATGCAATTAATTTTTATTTGCAAATTTTATGTGTTTTTATTTCCTACTAGCTGTTCCCCGCGACTTCGCCCGCGTGCAATTTATGCTTTTAATTTTGTTGCGCGGAACCCTAAACATTTTTCTAAAATATAAGTAGCGAAAGTTACTCCTTATAACATGAGCTATCTACCAGTGAAAGTCCCGTCAAAATCGGTCCAGCTGTTTTGGAGATTAGCCGGAACAAACAGACAGACAGACAAATATGTTAAAAATTGTGTTTTCTTTATACGTACCGTATATACTTTCATATGAAATTAGTGAAAAGCTGTTATTTTGATGTTACAAACAGGCACTTCAATTTAATTTATTTGTATAGATAATGGACACGCGCATGATAAAGCAGGGTCTTTGACAATACTCTTACTTCCTGGCCAATGCAGAGATTATAAATCCATACATATTTTATAAATAAAAAAATATTTGAATTGAATTAATATTTTTTCTGAGTTTTATCATTCAAATTTATTAAAATATGTTATAACAAGGAATATTCTTTAATAAAGGACGTTGTAAATTAAACAATGAATCGTCGTTCCTTATCTTTTGGTTTAACGAACGGTCGACTTCATAGCGCATCTGTTCGTTATGGGTAAGCCGATTAATTTTGAGTAAAAATTTATACAAAAGCAACACCCGCTCAATTAAGTAATAATAAAAATTTTACTAACGTTTGCAGTATAATATGAAATATTTTGGTGTGAGAGTAAACCACAATCCCAGAGGCACCGTTTCTGGTAGTGGGATATAGTCAAGGAGAGGATCGTGACGTATGCCTAGATGACCTCGTCTCCTAGCGAGATTTGTCCTATTCCGATACCGCTCAGGAGGCAATGTACACCCTCGCACCTAGGTTCTCCAGATTATCAAATGATGAAAAGTTAATCAGGATTGTCGCCACTTCAAAGGATATTGTGTCGTATCCGTATGATCATAATCCTGTAAGCACTGTATATTTTAGTTCTAAAGCATCGGATGTTGAGCTTATACAGAATGTTTTAGAAATAATAGTAATAATAATAACAATAAGTCGTCCCGAGTTTCTTCACTACTGGGATCACTCGTTTGATTCCTAAAGACCGGGATACCACAGACCCGAGCGAATACCGGCCCATCACGTATCTACCCACGATATACAAGACACTAACATCCATTTTGAGCGCGAGAACCACTCTTCACCTGAACTCAAATCAAGTGGTGTCGCGCGCTGAAAATGGATGTTGGGACGGTGGTCGTGGAACGAAGCAATCACTCTTCTTGACGCGGTCATTGGCAAGGTGTTTAAACGCAACCGTCGGAACCTCTCCGTCGCCTGGATAGACTACAAAAAGGCATTCGACTCAGTGCCTCATACATGGCTGAAGAGGGTCCTCGAGCTGTACAAGGTTGACTGTACAGTTGTAGACTTCCTCGGGCAGTGTATGATGCAGTGGAGTACGCTACTTTGTCATCTAGGCGAGCGGATGACAGCTGCAGAGAACCACATAAGGATGAGAAGGGGTATCTTCCAGGGCGATTGTCTGAGTACAATCTGTTTCTGCCTCTCTCTAAACCCTCTCAGTGCCTTACTGGAGGGTTCTGGGAGAGGATTTCAGGAAGGATTTCAGGGAGACCTTTACTATACGGATGATCTCAAGTTATTTGCCTCCAGTCGCTCACTTGTTCTGGAATTGCTAAACATCACTTGTAATTTTAGCAGTTCTATTAGAATGGCGCTAGGTACGGATAAGTGCTCGATCCTCCAAGTCGAAAAGGGTGGGGTTGCTTACTCTGAGACCATAGACTTATCTATGTCCATCAACATAAGGACCCTATCCGAGGCTGAAACATACCGATACCTGGGTATGTTACACTACTGGGTATGAGGTGGATATGAAACACTTAGTTTGCGAGGTGTTTTATGCACGCTTGACAAAAGTGCTCGACAGACTTTTGTCAGGTGTAAATAAAACACACGCATATAGCGGTTGGGTCATTCCTGTCCTCATATATACGTTCGGCATACTCAGGTGGACTCAGACCGAACTGAACGCTCTGGAAGAAAAGTCCGCACTGTTACGACCTCACACAGAATGCATCACCCGAAATCGTCATTAATGAGGCTGTACTTGCCGCGGAAAAATCGTGGACGCAGCTTTTTGAGCGCTCTCACCATGCACAATCGCGAAGTGTGCAGCCTCCCTAATTAATTTCTGGCGATATTGGATGATCCATTCTACAAGGACGTCATTTCATGTAAAGAGCTTACTCCTCTATCTTTAGCCCACGAACATTGGCAAAACCTAGCAGTACAGTGCATTTCCAAACGGTAGACCGTATGGAAGGAGAAGGAGCGCCATGGGAGGTTCTACAAGGCTTTACATGAACCTTTCGTAGACATAGTCACCTCCCTCCACTGGCTACGTTTTGGTGACCTGTTTGGGTAAACCGAGGGTTTTATTTGTGCGATACAGGATCAGGATATTAAGATTAACAACTTTCGGCCTACGCCTTTTTAAAAGATCGGCAACGGCACTGCAATTCCCATGTTGTTGCAGAAGTACATGGGCGGCGGTAGTCACTAACCAACAGATGAGCCACATACTCCTATGAAAAAAAGATACATGCACCGGCCTGGTAAGACATACAGGAAGTAGATGGATGCTGGTGGCTCAGGACCGTGCATTGTGGCATTCCTTGTTCAGCAGTGGACTTATGAAAGGCTGTAATGATGACGAATGATGATGACGATGATGATCTCTTATCTAGCCCTACACTTCGTCTACCGGTACGAGGCTGCCACTCAAGAACCTTTCTTCCCCATCGGTTGTCGGATCTTCGAGCTATATGGCCGGCCCACTGTCACTTCAGCTTACTAATCCGTTGGGCTATGTCGGGTACTCTGGTTCTACTGCGGATATACTCATTTATAAGTTTATCACGCAGAGGAACCCCGAGCATAGACTTCTCCATAGCTCGCTGAGCGACCTTGAGCTTCCTCATACGGCCAGCAGTGAAGGAACACGTCTTAGATCCGTAAGTCATCACTGGCAACACGCACTGGTTGTACAATTTCGTTTTAAGGTGTTGAGGTATGTCTAACGAGAAGATGTGTCGTAGTTTCTCGAACGCTGCCCAGCTGAGTTGAATCCGTCGATTGACCTCTCGATCGAAGTTGGACTTACCTAGTCGGACTATTTGTCCCAGGTAAACCTACTCGTCAACAACTTCGAGCTTAGTGCTCCCAACAACTACCGGCATAAGTGTGACATGGACATTAAACCTGATCTTTGTTTGTCCATGTTCATCTTAAGACCTATCCGTTGGGAAACACTATTGAGGTCATTGAGCATAGTGCTTAGGCCCTCCAGCGATTTTGCCATAAGGACTATATCGTCGGCAAATCGAAGGTGAGTGATGTACTCGCCATTGATGTTGATACCGTATCCTTTTCAATCCAAAAGCTTGAAAACGTCTTCCAATGCATGGTGAATAGTTTAAGGGATATAAGATCACCCTGACTTACACCTCTCTGCAATTGGATAGGTTTCGTACTCTAGTTCTGTACTCGGATAGCCATCGTAGCTCTACTGTACAAACACTTCAGCACTTCGATATACCGACAGTCAACTTGGCACCGCTGAAGGGACTGCAGCATCGCCTAAATTTCGACGAAATCAAAGGCTTTATCATTGTCCACATACGCCAGACTTAGTGGATAATTGTACTATTCGGACTTCTGTACAATTTGCCGAAGGGTATGTATGTAGTCTATTGTGCTAAAGGCCTTTCGTAATTTGGCTATTTTTCGGGAGGCTGGAAGTCGTCAAGTCTGCGCGCGAGACGATTCGTAATGACTCTCTAAAACAGCACGTAGACACGGGTCTGAAGGGAAACCGGTCTGTAGTTCTTCGAGAGAGCGTTGTCTCCTTTCTTGAGGAACAAGACCACCGAACTGCTGCTCCACGCCTCCGGTGTAATGCCACCATGGAGGACGGAAAAAGAGCTTCTGAAGGACTTCAAGTACTGAGGTTCCACCCGCTTTCAGAAGATCCGCTGTAATTCCATCCTCGCCTGGGGCCTTGCCGTTTTTAAGGTGCAGGAGAGCCATTATAATCTCGCTCAGACTTACGTCCGGGATATCTTCGGAATAGTATTGGAGATAAGACATGCAGGAAGTCAATTGATGCAGGTGGCTCGGGACCGTGCTTTGTGACATTCCTTGTGGGAGACTATGTTCAGCAGAGGACTTGTGAAGGACTGTAATGATTATGATGATAACAGCCCAACTAGATGAGAAAATAACCCACAAAAATTTATTATTATTATTATGGGGTATTTGTATAGTTTTCTCATCTGGTTGGGCTGTATAAATATATAATTGTAAATGAAAATGATAAACTTACATAAATATCAATAAAATAAAATAAATACATAAAAATTACATAAATATATAAAAACCCAACCAGATGGAAGCCCTCGGCAGGGGAGACCAAACGGCCGAGGGTTAGGGAGAAAGGGAAAGAAACCGGCGGACGATGCGGGCGGTATCGAGGAGCACCGCCTTCTGCATTTGAGCTTGGAGCGATCCGTCACGGAGTCCCAGTCGCCTCAGATGACCCGAGAGGCTGACTGGGATTAACCCGTTCGCAGAGACGACCACAGGAATAATTTCGGCCGGCAGACCACCCCACATGTCGGTCACCTCGTGAGCCAGGTCCAGATATTTTGTCAACTTATCTGTTTCGGCTTTCACGAGGTTCTCGTCATAAGGAATGGTAATGTCGACCAAAAATATCCTTGACTGTGCCCGGTCCATCAGCACAATATCAGGCTTATTCGCAAGAATAGTCCTGTCCATGATGATGGCCCGGTCCCAGTAGAGCCTGGCGCGGTCATTTTCGAGCACGGCTTCCGGCAAGTAATTATAATATGGCAGTTTCCGATCCACGAGACCGTATTTCAGAGCGAGCTCCTGGTGTAGAATCCTGGCTACTAGGTTGTGTCTGTGCAAATACTCAGAGTTAGAAAGCGCCGAACAACCGGAGATGACATGCCTAAGTGACTCACCGGGATGGCGACAAGCTCGACAGATGTCGACGGCGCCATCCTTTAGGATGTATCTCCGATAATTGTTGGTCTTAATAACCTGATCCTGTATCGCACAGACAAAACCCTCGGTTTCCCCAAAGAGGTCACCGAAACGTAGCCAGTGGAGGGAGGCGACTGTGTCTACGCAAGGCTCATGTAGAGCCTTGTAGAACCTCCCGTGGAGCTCCTTCTCCTTCCATACGGTCTCCCGGTCGGAAATGCTCTGTACTGCCGGGTCTTGCCATTGCTCGTTGGCTAAGGATAGAGGGGTAAGTCCTTTATCACAAGAAATAACGTCCCTATAGAATGGATCATCCGCTCTCGTCAGAAAGTAATTACGGAGGCTGCACACTTCGCGATTATGCATGGTAAGCGCGCTTAAAAAGCCGCGCCCACCATGCTTCCGCGGCAAGTACAGCCTCATTACTGACGATCTCGGATGATGCATCCTGTGGGACGTCATTATAGTGCGGACTTTTCTGTCCAGAGCGTTCAGTTCGGTCTGAGTCCACCTGAGCATGCCAAAGGTATACATGAGAACAGGCATGATCCAACCGTTATATGCATGTGTCTTATTAACGCCCGACAAAAGACTGTTGAGCACTTTTGTCAAGCGTGCATAAAACACACCGCAAACTGACCGTTTCATGTCCGCCTCATCGATACCTATGTTTTGTGACATACCCAGGTATCGGTATGTTTCAGCCTCGGATAGGGTCTTTATGTTGATGGGCATAGATAAGTCTATGCCCTCAGAGTTAGCAACCCTACCCCTTTCGACATGGAGGATCGCACACTTATCCGTCCCCAGCTCCATTCTAATAGAATTGCTAAAATCACAAGTGATGTTTAGCAATTCCATAAGATGAGAGCGACTGGAGGCGAATAACTTGAGATCATCCATATAGAAAAGGTGGGTCACTTTTGTACCTCCTCTCCGAAGCTGAAATCCCCTCCCGGAACCCTCCAGTAAGGTACTAAGAGGGTTCAGAGAGAGGCAGAACCAGATTGGACTCAGACAATCGCCCTGGAAGATACCCCTTCTTATCCTTATGTGGTTCTCCGCAGCCGTCATCCGTTCGCCTAGATGACAAAGGATCGTACTCCACTGCCCCATACACTGCCCGAGGAAGTCTCGAACTGTACAGTCAACCTTGTACAGCTCGAGGACCCTCTTCAGCCATGTATGAGGCACCGAGTCGAATGCCTTTTTGTAGTCTATCCAGGCGGCGGAGAGGTTCCGACGGTTGCGTTTAACCACTTTGCCAATGACCGCGTCAATGAGGAGTGGTTCCTTGGTTCCACGACCACCGCCCCGACATCCATTTTGAGCGCGCGACATCACCTGATTTGAGTTCAGGTGACGAGTGATTCTCGCGCTTAAAATGGATGTGAGTGTCTTGTATATGGTAGGTAGACACGTTATGGGGCGGTATTTGCTCGGGTCTGTGGAATCTCGGTCTTTAGGAACCAGATGAGTGATCCCAGTAGTGAAGAGGCTCGGGAGCGACTTTTGGTCGAGAGCCTCTTGAAACTGTCGGGCGAGAACAGCGTGACACACCACGAACCCCTTCAGCCAGTAGTGATGCAGTCCGTCGAGTCCCGGACTTTTCCAGTTCGGGGCCCTACGGACCGCCTCAGCTACGTCATCCGGCGTAATGATGACGGGGTCCATGGGCGTAACATTCGCACACTGACTCGCCACAACTTCCGTCCAAGGGCCCTCACTGTGGTTTACGGGCTCTGACCACAGGCCGCGCCAGAATGCGATAGTGTCGGCCTGATTCGGTGCTGG